CAGCTTGACAGCCGAAATCTAATTATCTCAAAGGCGCCAAAAGTGGGCAGAAGAAGGTGGTAAAAGAAATGATTACAGGCTCTCTCTTCCCTCCTTTTCCTTTTTTCCTGCCCTGCCCCCATTTTCGCGCGCCCTACACTTTCGCGTCTTCCCCACTATCTGAGAGCCTGGAACAGGCTATAGCAACGCCAATCTCTTTCACATCTTGTCTCCTCCTTTTGCCCTTTCTTCCCTTTCTTCCCAATTTCTGTGGTCATGGAAGGTGTTTCTTCAATCGAAGAATTCAATGGGCTTTACAATGGGTTACATGCACCTGCTTGTGAAGTATCACCTTCACCATTTGCAAATGTTGTGCTACCCTCAATAGCCATTTTTGACAGGTCAACGCTATCACTATAAACCCTCACCTCGTGAAAAAAAAAAGAATCAAAATATGAATCTGTCCTTAATTGATTTTATTCCAGCTTCTCTAGTCGAATGAGTGTTTTGTTAATAGTCTGAAAATATGGAGGGTGTATGTCTTGGCTAAGTTGAATGCTAAGGTCAACACCGTCTTTACATAAACATCAGGCTCTTGATTGGTTTCCATGTTTCTCCACAGGTATCAGTGAACATCCTGTTCTTGCACGGGGATAAGAACCCTCTCATATATTTTTTAAAACTTCGGTTACAGCTTCGTCATTTTCTGTGAATTGAAAGGTGACTGCAAAAAGGTTGTTCAGCAGATCAGGACCTTTTATCCAATAATCATTCAGTTGGTGACCACGAAATGAAGCAGATGAGTTGAAGACTATGCAGATGGGCGTTGTCTTTTCAGTTCTCATTATCTTGTTGTGGGCAATGTAATGCAATGCGACAAGCAGATGAACTGGGCCATTTCTTCGGCAGATTTCCTTTTCATAATTATTGTCTGTTCTGTCCCTTGTGGATATTTTTCCAGAGCCTATTTCTGTAGCATGTCGCCTTACCCCATCCTTTGTCATGTAAGGGACTTATTGAGCACTTATGTAAGGGACTCACTGAGTGTCAATGTTCATTGAGCATCTTTGTGAAAAGTGTCTCGAACACAAAGAGCTTGTCATCTACGTTGTCATAAGTATCCATGACACCAAAAGGAACAATATGCAAATCAGCTTAAAACACGTGATGATCAAACTAAGACTGCGGAAATAAAGCTTGCTCGATTTCATATCACTTATTTGCATGTGTACGACCCCGTACTGTAATTTTTTCCTTATTACCGGTACTTGATATAACAAGGTCAAGTTAAGATGTAGATGTTTTTGTTATTCTCGTCGGAGAATCAATCAGATTATGTAAGGTGTAAACATCCAAGAGATCCAATAGTGTTTGACCATCTTGTGGGGCCTTATCAGGTAGTTGCAGGTCCGAATCGAAATCACCCACCAGGAGGCAATCACCAGGTAGTGCATTGATGGCCTCTTGTATAGATTCAAGCTCGAGTGTCCTCTTTGAGATGGACAGCATTAGAAAAACATTCGCCTTGTGGACTGATAACCTCAACCGGTGCACCACAATGAAAAGCGTATGTTGCCCCTCCATGACGAAAACTGTGGCCAGAGTATTGAGTGGGTTTCAGGCCGGCAGAACAGAGAGAATGGCGTAATTCGATGGTGAAGATGGCCTGCGTTATGGGGCTAGTATAACAAATCACAGATTTATTTCGAGAATTAAAAGATTGTGCCTCGATCCTTCCTCCATTATAATTTGGTGTATAGATTTTACCATTCTATAGCTTCCCATGCTGATGTTTAGAAGTGGATCTTCAAATGTTAGCACATCAAGAGAGTGAAGAAATTTAGTTAAAAAATGTGTGAAATACATTAAAACAGACCAAAATGGTCTCGAACGTGTTAATGCCACATGTGATTAATAACAAGGTTGCTAGGGGTCTGGTTATGACAAATAGAATGACTGCTGATCTGAGTGAAATAACTGCAGGTACGTTCAATGTCCAACGTGGGCTTCAAATTAAAGGCATCTTTAATTAACATTCAAAGTCTTTTAAAGCTTTTGGTTTTGAGGTTCTTCTCCCGGAAACCAATGTTTCAAAGAAAATGTCCTTCCTAGCTATTTGATTATGAGCTACAAGGGCATATCCTTTCCATGGGCAAGCAAAAGAAGATCTGGGCGCTTCTTTTGGCTGAGGAGGATTGGAGGCCTTGTCCTCTGACTTGTGACTTTCCTTTGTTTGTTGAAGATTTGAGTCCCAGTTGTATGACTTGAGACTTTGCTTTGTCTCCTGATGAGGATTTGAGACCTTGTCCTGTGACTTTCCTTTGTCTGTTGAGAATTTGATGCCTTGTTGTATGACTTGAGATTTTGATTTGCCTTTTGAGGATTCGAAGCCTTCTTGTGCAACTTGGTCATGGGGATTTGAGGTCTTGTCCTGTGACTTGTGTTTTCCCTTTGTCTGTTGAGAATTTGAGTCCCAGTTGTATGACTTGAGACGTTTCTTTGTCTGCTGATGAGGATTTGAGGCCTTGTTTTGTGACTTTCTTTTGTCTATTGAGAATTTGATGTTTTTGTTGTATGACTTGAGATTTTGATTTGCCTTTTGAGGATTCGAAGCCTTCTTGTGCAACTTAGAGGTGTCTTTAGTCTTTTCCAGTTTAGTAGCTGGCTGTGTAAGGTGATGAGGTGGTGCCGATTTACGTTTCCCTGGTTGATTGAAAAATATACAGTTAACTTTTCGATTTTTTCGGGGACACTGAAAAATGCACACTGCAGGCTGTCTGTAAAATGAAAATTTGGTTAGCCTAAATATCAATCTGGTTATTAGCCTTACGAGGCCTAAATAACATTCAGGTTAGCCTGTTTATGGTTAGCTCTCGATAATAGTGAGGGTAACAGCATATCTTACCCCTGGTCTGCAGAGTCTGTAGTCTGCATTTTGGAGTGATCGATTTTTTCACTAAATTCAATCAATACATAAAATACAACACTTACGATAACATAGTGGGATATTCGTGGTATGCCATGAGCACGAGAAAACATTGTATAACTATTTTAATTTATCCCGTGCCTCTGATCTCACATATGCATAAACGGTGAATTACCCTTACTAGAAGAATCCAAACAAGTCACTTATAAAATGAAAGGTACAAATGACTTCTATTGATCTGATCAATAATAACGTCTGTCCTTCAAGCCACACTGGCCTGCAAACTCTGCAGCATGAAATAACTACCAGAAATCCAACTGAATTGGCAGGCCTAGAAATACGAGCAAATGAATTAACCTTTGCAATAAATTACTATTTCTATAATTAACGTTTTTAAAAAATACCTGCGGGGCATTTGTTTATACTCTGCCTTGGTGAAGGAAAATGTATTAGCTGATTTTTGGGCCAGTAGAATTGTTCACCTACCTAGGAAAACGTGTGAACACCCTCATTCAATAGGGATAACCATTTCAATATTCCATCATCATGATATGACCATTAGCCTGCGAACAGATGTATTTCTGGTGGTCGCTTCTCTCCCTCCGAAATTTTCGCTGCGGGTGGAACAAGAGGTGAAAAATGCATCTGCTCCCTGCAGGCTATATGACCATGAGCCAGTAGTAGCATTGGTGATGGGGGAAAAGGGTTTCTCTCCCAAGGACTTGTCATTCAATTAGTCACTGAATAATAACTAATGTCTCGACTTACCTTAATTCAATCCCATTTTTATAACTGAATACATGTATATTGTAATGTAATATAATTTTTGGCACAGAGAATGAACAACTGGTGCCAACTGCCCTTAAAGAATTGACGGCTAACTGTCAGTTATCACAGACTATACTTACTTTAACCTCTTGGAGCATTTTCTTGCCAGTCTTGGGTCCAGTGAGTTCCACTGGTTCATGCTCCCGAGTGATCCTTACTATTTTTCATGATCACTGCGGCGTAATCATCTGCACCAATAAATTATAAACCATGTCAAAAACTGGTATAGTTTGGATTCTACAAACCGATAGGCCCTTTGCAATTGCATCACTCAGTCACATGACCTTGCCAATCATTAGGGTTGGTAGAATGAAATGGCTTATTATATAGTAGGTAATAGCAGGTAAACTCATAATTTAAGTTTTGAATACTACAGCAGGTAAGCTTACCTGCCGTGTTATTTAGAACTTAAATTATGGGGAGCTAATACGAAAAACTACCGCTTAATTGGCTCCCCATGCCCAGCTCACACTGTAGCCAGACTTCCAATAGAATGAGTGTGTGTGAATCAACAAGACAGAAAAAAATCGAGTGTATACTTTTAGAAGAGCTTAATATTATTGTTGTCATTATGATAGTTGTCAGAAAGGGAAAAATCATATAGTAATGAGTAAGGTTGTCAATTTAAATGTGAGACTTTACACATTAAGAGTATCTGGGATTTTTTCCATACAAATCCTAGCCTGGGTGCCAGAGGGTTTTTCTCTGTGAACGGCAAAGTGGCGAAGCCGTGATTGTGACATGCCCACTCTCCGTTCGAATGTTCACCCCTACTCGTGAAAGAAAATAACTTACCATCTTTTGTACATGAGTACATATATCTGGCTTTTGCCAGTTATTCACTTCGTAGCATGACTTTCACAGCATCTCTACAAATTAATCAAAGACAATGGTAACAAATTCAAAGAGCACAAGATTGAAGTATTTATTCTTAAAAGTCATGCAGTATGGTTTTTGCAGTACATATTTCAAGGGGCGGTGTCACTGGCATAATCAGCTGTTTCGACCTCATTTAAAAAGGGGCGTGATTGAGGACATTTCAGCTATGGGCAACATAGATGTGACTCTCCGCAGGAATTTGATGCTAAAGGTGAAAGCACGCTCACGACACGCTTACACGACACTCTTAGCGTGCCGTAGATCACGGATATGCGCATATTAAATTGAAAAAACAAAGACGGACACACTTGCCTTTGTTTTGGTAAATTTAACACGCTAGACCTTTTGTTTTTTTGGAGCATGCCATATGTCACGGTAAGTGTGCAAATTATAGCACGCTTAGCGTGCAATTTGGGTAAGACACGTTGAACACGCTTGATTACTAAAGCTACTAAGATGATAAAAATGGCTTGGGTTTTCAACGGATTTAATCAGCATCGATAACTGGTCGAAGTGAATCAAATATACTAATTGAGACTGTTTTGGAATTTGATAGTAACCGTAGCCATTTGAAAATCACCACTTAATGGTCGTCTGTAGCCTGGAATTAATGCGAGATCAGTGTAAACCAATTCCTCCGGCTGTGGGCTGTTGACCAGAATCGCAAAGAGACCTGCTATCGCATGCGAGGCACTGAAGTTATGTCGCCTGAAAATTATAGTTATGCCGCCGGAATCTTTATTAGCAGTAATGCACAGTGGAAGAAACGTTGCACGACGAAACTAAAACGGCTGTGTAGCAGACTACTTTAAGACAAATAATTGTAGGCCGTAATACTTCTGATGACGCTAAATCGGTCGCCGTAACTTCATAGCGCGAATGTTTCTTTAGATAGTTCTAAAACAGACGGCAACCACAAGAAAGACAACAGGATGATTACGGAATTTGGACAATAAGACTGAAGCATACGCGATGTAATATTTCAAATTTACATACATTATTTTAATACCGGTTTCGCTTTTTGTGTTATTGCCGGCCAGATCAATTAAGCAACATTGAAACCGTTTTGGAATTTTGTAACATCTAGAGAAGCAGGCTGGTTTTCATTTGATAACTGCAATCCTTGCAATCGCCAAAAAATAAATACAATTTAGCAATCCTAGCTCTTGATGATTTCTATTTGATCGCTGCGATTGCTGCGATTGGCGAGAAAGTGACTTAAGTCCGAAAGATCACTGTTTCTCAGAAAATTGCAAATGTGTTTTAAATTAAGGAAAGTTAAGATAACCTTTACACAGCTTCGTCAGTAAACATTTCTGGAAAGAACTTTGATTTTGCAATGCCAATAAAGTTCTACCCATAAATCCAGTAGGTCCTACCATTCACTGTTTATACTTTTCAAGCGACAAACTTTTTCTTTCTCGATAGTTACTAAAAAAGGGTGCCGTTCATAATCATTTACGGTTCCTTTTTGTAGAAGAAATTCATAGATAACAGCTTATAGATGACACGCCTTGCGTGCTTTTGCGCACACTGAAAGAGTGTTGTGCTTTTTCGCACGGAGCTTTTTGTTTGAAAACTTTAACACGCCCTTTTGTTCGACTTGCTCACGCTTAATTGTCTCAAGCGTGTCCTCTGAAACAAAAGAAATTGCTAATGAGGCAAGATTGCAAGCGTGGTAAAGCGTGTTAAAATAAATTCTTTTGTTTTAAAGTGAAAGCGTGTCGTGCGCGTGCTTTCACCTTTAGCATTAAAATCCTGTGGAGGGTCACATATATACTTTAAAAGGAGCAAGGTTAATTAGTTTTATTATTCATTCAAAATATTTCCCCGATTCTGATTGGCTAAAAGCACTCGTTTAATTCACCATAACCAGTTACTGATGACCAAATTTGGAAGAATTTTGTGTTTAACGAGGAAATGACGTCAAAAATGCAGCGTTTTCGCAGGTTAGGGCACCGTTAACCGAGAAGACCTGGGGACGATGTTGAGTTGTTTTGATTGTGAACTTGAAAAATGGCGGACATTTCACTTGTTTCAAGAGTAAGAACTAGGCGAAAACATAGCTAAAAACATGGCAAAAACAGCAAGAAGACACCTCGAAGGGCGACATCTACTATTTGAAGAATATTTGCTGAGCTAGACAAACCTAAATGTGCACTATCAAAGATGAACTTACATGGATGGATCGATGAAGGTTAGCATGTTTTAGCCTTGTTTTTAAAGTAGGAATTATTTTGAATGAATAATAAAACAATCATTGAATTCGGCTTTCGTATTATATGGAGAATTATGGAGATCTCGGGGGGCTGTTATCTGCCTCGGCGTACTGCCTCGACGGATAAAACCCTCCTCGATCTCCATAATTCTTCATAAGATACTCAGCCTCATTCATCAATTGTTGTAACGCAAGAGATGGAAATGGTTTGAAATTGCCATTATTGAATAACTTTCTAATTTTAATGTGGCAATTAATCATTGTTATAATTACATTCTCTTACCCACTTAAAAAGTGAAATCTATCAACATCATTATCATCACCATCTCTACCCTCATTGTATTATCATCGTTAGCATAATCTGTATCCAGTTGACTTTAAGATGACATTAGTACCTTTTAATGGCTTTCTGTACTTCTTGAACTAGCAAAAAAATATGCAAAAACACCATGTCTGAGACAATAACATCAATCAAATAGTTATTATTTACCCTTGTAAAAATTTATTAGCGATCGCGCCGCGATCGCTGTCAAAATCGCGTAGCGTTTTTGGCCGGATTTCGCGGCGCGATCGCTGCGTTATTCGCGGCGCGATCGCTGTCATCAATCGCTTAGCGTTTTTGGCCGGATTTCGCGGCGCGATGAGAGCGATCGCTGAGCGATCGCTGTCA